CAGCTAATGGTCTGCGATTGACTCCACCTCTCCCTATATTGTTCATACCAAGTCTGTTGTGTATACTGTTGTAAAGATTTGGGTTTGAATTTGATCGCCGGAGCCTGTTTTGCCATCCACCTGTAACAAAAAAAATATTTGTTTTAGAGCAACATTTTTGTGGTAGTTAGTGTTCAAGCTGTCAGCTTGAACTCTAGTTGGTATTGGTAGTGTCACAGTAATATTACTTAAATTAAGCATTTTATTGTAAGAGGCCGCCTGTGACTTTGTACTTTTAGTTTTTTGAGAATCCCACAGAAACCTTTTCTGGGATCAGAAGTACCTATCCTATGTCTCAATTTAGATGAAACTATATTAGTACCAAATTTTATTCAAATCCGTTCATTAGTTTTTGGGAGAAAGAATAACAAACACCCATACAAATGTTTGTATTATAATTGAAAGAATTTAATTTAAAAAAAGCTTAGATTGCAAAAGCATATCCATTGCAAGATTGAAATTATAGTAGTTTTATATTTGAAAAACAATTGGTGATCTTACCTCTATTATATCCACCTCCTCGAACAAGTGGAGGCATGTCAGAAATTTGATCTTCCAACCCAGCTCGTCCTTTAGGAGTCAAACGGAGTTGAGATCGTGACCGTGAAGCAGACCTAGCTCTGGAAATGGAGCGGCGTTGCTGACGCGAGCGCGACCGCGATCGTGACTGCGAACGAGATCTTGACTGGGAACGTTGCTGGGATCTCGAACGGCCTTGCCTGCCACGAGGAGTGCCAGGTCGCGATTGTGACCGCCCGCGACCCCGACCTCGCCCTCTGCCTCTGACTCCACCGCGGCCACGGACATTGCCTCCTCCACGATTATTGCCGCGGTTTTGAAAATTCCCACCACCACCTCTACCACGAGTCCTGCTTGCACGATTCTGTTGTTTATTTTGTTTAATGATATCATCTGTAAACAGAAATGGAAAGTGATTCAATTTTCTTTAAATAAAGCCATACGTCAAAGTTGGCGCCATGTACAATATCGAACGAGTAATTTGGACAATAAACTCAAAAACGTTAAATATATCAAATACTAAAATCCAATAATTTAATAATGAGAAAATACCACATAATCACATCAAAAGATTCGTTTACAACACCATGGCATCACACCGACTCAAATTGAAATCAAACAAAAGTATTTTTGCTTACCTAGTGACATATTCACTGAATCAGCCATTGTGCAAAATAGTGCCAATGATTTATTTACTAATTAATTGGTGAAATAAAGCTAAACATAAATTGAGAAGGTTATTCTTATTTTTTCGAAGCAGATTTTATCACCAAAAATACCACAAACGCCGCAGACTAAAAAAGTAGTAATCCAGATCTTTTTTTTTTATATATATAAGTTTTACGGCCTTGGAGTTTCCCATATTGGCCAGTCATTAGTGGTATGTCATCTATATCTTGCCGAAAGTATATATAATGAACTCAAATAGTATAATCCAGATCCAGCTCCAGCATAGATAAGGGAAGAGATGTCTATGAGTTAAGGTGAAATTAGACTACGCTAAATTACCGTGGCAACTTGTGTCCGTCATGCTAGCGTACACCACATCAAGTTGGAGGTTTTTACTTATGCTATGAAATAGAGTGTAAATAGTGCTTAAATAGTGGAATAATAAAAAACGGATATGTGCTGTTCTCATGCGGAAGAAGTGAAACCCACAGAAATATGAACTTAACTAGCTACATCTTAAAGACAACTCGAAAAATGAATAATGGTGTCGATTCTGACATGATTCTCTGAACCATAACTGAAATTTGACATTAGTCTGTCCTTTTCAGTCTGTATAGAGAATAACAGAGATAAACTGTTGTCAAATTTAAGTTTAGCTTTAGAGAATCATGCCAGAATCGATACCTATTCCATTAGCTTAATAAAAGAAAAAAAATGAAAATGTGCGTTATGTTTAAAGACAATGGTATCGATACTGGCATGGTTCTCTAAACCTAAACTTAAATTTAATAATAGTGTATCCTTGTCATTCTCTGTACATAAAGAAAAGGAGAGACGCCTGTTAAATTTAGTTTTAAGTTTAGAGAATCATGCCAGAGTTGACACCATTATTAAACTAATTACTTTAATTGAAACATTAATATACTATTTAAGTTATATTTTTCCAAACAAAAATAAGCTTTATTACTTATTCACCAAGTTTCATAAATGATCTTGCGACGCGCAACGCATCAGGTTTCATAAATGTATTTGCGATTGCTTGAATCTTAAGTAAACTATTTTAGGTTAGGTAATTTAAAGCACGCATACTTATATGCAAGTTTTGCTACAAAAGCACTCCCATAATCTGATAAGAAAATGCTTAATTTCTCTACAGATAGCGGCACTAAAACGAATTAAAAAAATAAATTAATTACATATTAGTAGTTCTGCCAATTTCACTTTGGATTTGTTTCAAGGAATTAATGAAAGTCATTAGATTCAATCAAAAAATAAATTTTTCAAAACCAACTTTTCCAAAATATTTTTACATCATCTAAAAGCCCCTCAAATTCCGCGTCTTTTCAGTACGTCCTCGTGGCCACACTCGAGCCGCCCGCCGCGTGTGATAGCACCGCGCAAAACTCGCGGTTATGGGCACCTCTACAACCTCAACCGTCACCAATATCGAAAAAAGTGTAATGACCTAAAATGTTTCTTGGTACAATACGGAAGTGCTTTTTATCATATTTTTTAAAATTCGGCCCCGTTTTCGAGATTTGGGAAATTTTCTGAGAAAACATGATTTTTCAGTCGAAAAAGTTTTTGACTTTTTCAAAATATTTTTTTTCATCTTAAAGCCCTTCAAATTCCGCGTCTTTTGAGCCCTTATACGTCCTCGTGGCCCTAAACCTCGGGGAATTAGGGGCGAGTCGCACTTTCAGCGAAAATAAGGGTCTACTGGAGCGAGCGAAAAATCATTTTCAAAGTTAAAACAATGCACGTTGTGCCGTCAGCACAATATTCATCGCACGTAACATTCGTGATAAATAGTTAATAACGTGATGTAATGAGAAAACATCAAAAGTTCCTGTTTCGTGACTTTCTGCAGTCAAAATATCTCCCTCATTAATTTCTTTGTTTATAGATACATATATATACCTGTATTTTTAGTTGTAATAAGCCCAGTCAGAAATTATACTCCAATACATTACCCAGTGTGTTATTATTTAACTACGGAAACACATGTCATACACCATTTTCCATGCCAGTATATAAAACAGTATTTCTTCTCGGTATTTTCACTTTTTAAAAACTGTTAAACTTTATAAAACCGTATTAACTAACAAATCAACAATACAAACAACAAAAAAAATATTTTTATTAAACAAATAACTATAATTACGTCACAACAATATCTAACTAAAAACTTTAACTCATTAAAAATTAACCCTAAAATATGAATATACATATTCACAAGAAGAATATATCATCCAAAATTCCAATTTGGGGCATGGTACCCAGAACACTGGCAGCATTAGCAGCAGCCTCGCTGAATGGCTAAACTGATTCTCTGCGCGAAATAGCTGCCAGCCCTCTATATCCTCTATCACCCGAAGAGAGATTCAGTCGATTCGACATATCCTTCATAAACCGCTTCATGTCAGCCGACCACGACCCTAACGTCTCGAAAGCTAACGCCGCAAACTCATAATCTTTAATTATAGAAGAGTATTTACGACGCTTGAGAAACTGAGCACGGTCGGCTGCGGCCCCAACTTTAGTACAAGTTTCATGTGTATAAGAAGGAGCCAGCGTGTCTACGCAAGTTGCATCCCACACCAGAGTGCGGCCCAGTCTCCACGGCACAAGCGTAGCACCGTCAGGTCTTCTGCCATCATAACAAAAAAACAACAACAAAAATTAACAATGACAATAAAACAATTCAGAACACGACTGTACACTGGAAGTGCGCGCGGCGTCGTAGTATCAGTACGGGGTCGAAGTACAACTGGAGCAGTGTTGCCAATTCCGATTTTTAAAAATCGTGAGGCGTTATAGAAGAAAACAGTAGATGTATGGTAATTTGTAACCCTCCCCCCATCCTAGAATTGGTAAATAGATATAGGCCCGTAACGAATGTGTTTCTGTGGCTTCTGCCGCCCCTCAAAGCTGTTTATTTTTTTTAACAATACCATATTCTATTAAGGTTGCCTACATTCTTAATGACGGAAAATGCAACTCATATTCCAATTCCAATAATAAACGTAAAATCGGCCGGTTTTTTTTTATTTTCCGGCCGTGAAAAACAAAGTGTCTGGCTGCTAAGACCAGTACCCCAGTAAATTTTGTATGGAAACTTGGACAGCAGCGGCACGAAGTACGTAACAAGAACTAAAAATAAGTACATATTTGACAATAACATTTCGGACTCGCAAACGATATGAATTCGATATTGGTTCGTGCTAGGGGGGGAAATTGGTGTGAAAGATACTCAAAGATAAAACAGCTCGAGTAACAACCTCGAGTTTGATGTGGTGTACGCTAGCATGAGAGAGAGATACCGTATCGAGGCTGTTGATCACTTTTGGGTCCCATAATAGGGTATTCGACAGGAACATAAATAAAAATGAACATTGGCAGTGGTTTTTGCCATATTACAAAAACAATTGGTACTTTACAAAATAACACCTGTATGAAATCGGTAGGCATCCAGTTTTCGTCATGCCATAGCGCTACGCCGAGGGAAATAAGAATGTTTTTTTTACAAAGTTTTTATTTATGGTGGTTGATTTTATATCGCAACGCAATGGGGCAGGCGGGAGCCCCTCTTGAAAGGGACTGTGGGCCACAGCCCGCCTGCCCTGACTTAAATCCGGCCCTGGTTTCGGGGCATGGATCAATATTATTGGGGTGACTAGCTTAGTGCCTCAAGGTAGCACCTTGGGCACGACCAATCCAAAATTCATTCATTCAATAAATTTTATGGGAAGGTAAAAATGCAAAGTCTTTGATTAAGTTTGAGCTTATGAGAAAATTTTATTAACAAAATGAAAATAGGAATAAATAACATAATAATGCATAATTTTAAGAAATATTAATTTGTACATTACTTTTATTTTCTTATAATTATTAAAATCATCTCTGCATGGAGAAGACAACAACGCACATAAATACAAATCTGAGTTTTAACATCTCCAATTCAGATTATACAACTAAACTTTTTGCAAATTATAACTACTAGATTACAAAGTTAATAATAATTCTCCTGTGAAATATTTAATATTCGATTAAAATTTCAATTGACTGATATCTATATATACACTAATATTTATATTATATGAGCAGAACTCGTATAGTGAATCACAATTAAAGGCCAAGATTGTAGGCGAGACTTATCATAAGGCCATTCATAATTAATTACATGATGCACTTCATTTAGAATATTTAGTGAAAATTATCCTTACAGCGGAACTTAAGTACATGCTAATGGAGGATAACACCGATCACTGTAAAAAGACGCAGCCGTCGCGGATAAGGATTTCTGTCAAGCGAGCTTCAGGAAGCTCGCGTCGTATATCGTCAAGATTAATCAGTGTTTAGTAGCAGTCATCATTCGAGATAACTATAGTAAAGTTAATATTTTTCTAATACACTATGCGAAATATTCAAATATATAAAAATACTATATACCTCGTAGGGCGAATCCACGAAAGAGGATTCGAAAAAAGTACACTTCAAGTGAACAATATTATAAAAATTGCACAATATCAACGCGCTACAGGAATGAGAGTCCGTCCGTCCGTCGAGGACGCGACGAGTTAGCACAACACTTGGCACCTTCTGAGTATTCAAATCAAACGATACCGAAATCTATCCCATCGGCGACCACCGTAGGGGAGCTGCCTCGAGCGGGATGTTCGGTGACTTCCAACAATATATTAGATATGTTATAGATAAGGGGCGGGGGCTATAGTCTAATATCGTTGGGAGCGGTGGCGAGCAGCGAGGTGCGGCGCCAGGCGGGCTCAAGGGCGTCGGGCGGCGGGGAGGGGCAGGGGCAGGGGCGGCCGAGGGCGGGCGCGGGTGCGGGCTCGGCGGGGTGCGGCACGGGCGGCGGCGGGGGCGGCTCACCCGTGCGCACGAACCCGCGGCACTGCACCTCCTCCTGCGCGCCGTACCGGTGCAGGCTCAGGAACTTGAGGTTGGCCACGATGGACGAGTTGATGGGCCGCGTGGGCATGCTCACCGCCGTGGGCGAGCGCTCGATGCGCTTCCCGCGCCCGCCCTCACTCGCCAGCTCGAGTGACTGCCCGCGCCCGTACAACCGCGATTGCCCGAAGCGCGGCGTAAGCCGCCCGATGAGATTGTCCTCCTTCCGTGCGCATTTACCCGTCACCTGCTCCTCCGGGGGCTTTTTCTTCTTCCGAAAAAATGGCGTCAGACGATCCGTGAACGGCCGCGACGACGACCCAGCTGCGTCGTGCACGTTCGATGTCGAATTTGACGTTTTGAGAGGCTTCGCGGCGTTCGTTTGCGACTTGATCGGATTGGACTTCCTCTTCATGCTCGACCGAGAGAATGGCTGGTGATCCTTCTTTTCGGCGTCGTCCTCGTCGGGGCCCGTCTCGTTGGACTCTTCCTCGGGTGTGTCGTCCTCGCAGACTTTGAGCACGCAGTAGGTGTCCCTCTGCAGCTCGTCGAGGAGGCTGTCGTCGTTGGAGACGGTGTCGATCTTGCTGTGCGGGCGGTCGGGTTCGAGGTGTCGGGCCGAGTCGCTGGGGAGGCTGGTGGTGGAGCCGCAGTGGGAGTGCTCGTCCTGGTAGAGGCCGCGGGTGTCGTGCGGTGAAGGGGAACGCAGCAGGGGGCGCGAAGTGTCCAGATCGGGGGGCTTGGGGTGCAGGCGCGCGCGGGCGGCGGTGTGGCCCCGCGGGGGCACGGCGGGTGGCGCCTCCTCTGCCGGGGCGCGCGCGTGCGACATGAAGTTGGTCATCAGCTCGTACTCCTTGCAGCGGTACTCGAGCTCGGCGTCGGGCCTCTTGGGCGGGCTCGTGTCCGGCTTGGGTTTGCGCTCGGGCGGGCGCGGCTCCACCTCTACATACTCGCAGAGGGGGCCGGGCGCTCGGGCGGGGGAGAGACGCGCCGGCTTGGGCGGCCGGGCGGGCTTGTCCGCGGACGCGTCGCTGTCTTCGGACGGCTCGTGCTTCAGACAGGACATTGTCAGGTACCCGCTGGTGGTGGACTTGTTGGACTTGCCAGAGGATCGCTCGTCGCCGTGCCGGCCGAGCCTGACGGACTCGGTGCTGGAGCCGATGTCGAAGGAGGATCGCATCGGCAGGGACTTGCCGTCTAGGTCGATGGTGGGTGAGGTGTCGCTGCGCCACGGCCGCCAGTGGAAGTCGCTGTCCACGTTGCCCGCGGCGCCCGCTAGGTGAAGATAGTTGTCGTCGCCTATAGGCGCTTGCCTGTAGATGACAAAAGGCAATCATTACAATCATAACCATTAATACAGCATGCATATATGCCACTCAAAAGGTAACATATTATAAAGAATTCTCGTATACTGAAAAGTACTCACTTGCTGCCATATTTAGTCTCTCTGGCGAGCGACCGCCTGTAGGTTCGATGGCGATGTTCGAGGTCGAAAATAGCTTCTTGCAATTCTTTCAACGTCGACGCCTCGGCTTCACGTTCTTCTATACTGGTGCCGTCTGAAAAAACAAAAACATTCCTTGTCAAAAAACAAAAAAAAAATGAGAGTAATCTATTCTCCTTTAATGTGAAATTAATGGGTAACTCACCCGGCGGCCGCAACAGTCTTTCGTCGAGTTTTTGCGCATGTTGAACGAGTAACGCGTGCAGTCTTTGAAGATCCCGCGCCGGGTCCAGCCGCAACGCGAGAGCAGATCCTTCCGTCGCCCCGCAACCTTCCGCGGACGCTTCTGTCCGCCCGCAACTGTACAAAAAAACGTCACTCTTAAGCATTATATTATATTGTTTGTTACTCAATCACGCAAAACTATTGAACGGATTTAGATGAAATTTGGTACACATATGGTTTATGACCTGGATTGAGACATAATTTTTACGCGGACGAAGTCGCGGGCGGCCGCTAGTTGCACCCTACGCGTCGCATTTAAAATTCGGTGTATGCAATTATTAGTCCAGGAAATGAAGCATTTTGGCTCGCAATTTTTCGTCCACCATGGATTTACTTGAAATTTTCACAAAAGGTAAGGAACAGCTCAAGGATCATTTTCTATATCATGCCGTTGTACGCCAGAGCCTTAGGTGTGGTTGCCACCCCATCTCGGGGGTAGAATTTTTTTATTACATTTTAACTGTAGAATCGACGGAAAAAGTAATTCTAAAAACGATTTTTTCGTAAAACTAATATTTTTTGAGTTATTCAAAGTCGAAAGTAATATGTTTTTGACGAAAAAATCGACTTTTTAAATGGTTTTTTGCGAATAACTAAAAATATGCATTTTATCAAAAAAGTGTAGAGTGAAAAAATCTGTGAAAACAACCTCTAAAGTATCCCCTAATTAAAATTGATCGCCACCTTTCTGTAATTCTCTTTATATATGTACTATTAATACACCCACGACGTTTGACCAATTTAAAAATGGCAAATTTTAGAAAAAAATGAGTTTAAAGAGAAAGCCGTTTTTTTTCAATTTCGTGTTTTTCACCCAATTTCTTAAAAATATCTCCCAAAATACTATAGATACACACTAAATTGTAGCTTTTTCAATGACAAAAATTCCCCTGTATGCACATTTTTGTACAGTGAATATTCGCCGAGATATAGCCGTTTTAACACCTACATTTACGATCGAACATCACCTTATTCAAGCGCTTTAAACTCTCCCCATTTAAAAATGAAGGGATCTTAAGTAATTTAATTCACATAGTCTTATAACTCCTGAACAGCTCTATAAAATCGTTTCTGAAAAAAAAAAAATCTATCACCTAAAATGAAGGAGCTATATGCTTAAAAAACGGATATTATTTTTCCAAAAATAATTTCAATGTTTTTAAGGGTAGTTTTTAACATGGGTAGGTAGAAAGATTATGAAATTGTATCCTAAAGCATGAAACAATCATCTATAACTATTATTAACTATATTTAGGTTTTTAATTTTATTTTATAATTTTTGATAATAAGGGGTAGTTTTCACCCCTAAAAAACAAAAAGCTTACTACGGCACAATATAGAAAATAAACTAGAGGGTGAAATAAGCCTAAATTCAATTTTTTGTACAAATCGGTGCTGGCCGAAAAAATTGCGAGGTTTTACCATTTTTTTAGCTTCATTTTGCTGGACTATATATGGAACCTCGCACATTTCCATCAGTATCACCCTACGCGCCGCATTTTGTAGTCTGGAAATGCGGCGCTTATGATAGCGCTCGTCAAGTCTCATCTTTCGTGGCGCACTGTACCTTTAGTGTCTGCTAATGACTGCAAATGAAACCAGAATCATCGACTTAACTTGCCTTCCGAATAACTGAGAAGCTCGAGATAATTAGTTTTTTCACAAACTTCCAATGATCGGCCATTGCGAAAATTATGTAACTATCACTTCCGCAAACCGAATGCACTAGCCGCCTGCGTCATCAGGCTTCACGAGCATTGTATACCCCAAGTTGGAATTATGTGTGAAAGAAAGCTAAAACATTTTCTGGCTGATAAGTCTATACGCGGTTAGAAACGTGGTGTGACACTAGTGGACGCCTATATTGTATGTGCAAATGTGGCCTTAATAAGCCGAGGCCACATTGAAAGCGAAACCAGCGCGGAATAGATAAAAAATGTTGGAAGGATAACTATGTCTTCTTTGCGAGTAGGCACTAAAATTGCGCGGTGCCGAAAGCAGCCGCACCCACTCGCTGCTTGTAGTGTGTGTGTATATATGTGTGTGTGTTTGTGAGTACCATGTCCAGCGCGTGTCGGCGTAGTACCCGCGGTGTGGGGGCGCGGCGCCGGCTCGACAAAGCGCAGTTAGCAGCCGCACCCACTCCGCTCGTTCCACGCAGTTGCCAGCCTGCACGAACAATACTCGCTCCTGATGCACTGTCAACAACAACCACATTTTATCACCAACTATTTTATAAATCTTTCCAAATAAATATCATCGTCAACAGCCTATTAACGTCTCCACTCGCGGGGCACAGGCCTTCTTTAAAGATGAAATAGGGAGATTCAGCTATGACCCACATCGCCCGCCCAATGCGAATGGGACAACGCAAAGCTCATTACAGATGGCGATTTGGCCGTTTTGCCCATAACAAGCAACCTGTCACTTCCAAGGCTGCGTTCTTAACCTACGCCGAGTGATTTTTTTTTCTCTGACGTTTCAATTTTGCCATAAAATGTATGAAACTTCTGTCAAATTTACTTGTCCATTTCACACCTGCACCAACCACCACCAAATCAACCAAGCCAAATCACTAAGTCCCAAAAAACCCCGACCGCCATTTTGCAAAAAATAAAGAACGCCTACGCCCCTGGTGGGATAAATTGGCAGTATTTTTCCCCATTGGTGGGTGATAACACACATCCGATGACCGGCCATTGGGCCAGCGGCCAGAAATTGCTTATCTTCCACGGTCTCCGCGGCCACTTCCACCCGCCACGCGCGCCGTTGGTGTAGTGACCAGTCTCCATTATGTTGTAGGCGCCCAGCGGCGCGCCAGCGTGCAGGCCAGCACGCCGGACAGGGACAGTTCGCACGCCACCTGGACCACGTGTCCACTCGGCACGCGCGCTGGTGGTGTACTGACCTATCTGGAATATGTTGTTGGCACCCAGCGGCGCGCCGGCGGGCAGGCAGTTGACGGCAGCGACGGCCAGCACGCCGGACAGGAACAGACGGCTCGTACCGCACCAGGACCATGTTCACTCGGCACGTGCGCTGGTAGTGTACTGACCTACCTGGAATATGTTGTTGGCGTCCAGCGGCGCGCCGGCGAGCGGGCAGTCGACGGCAGCGACGGTCAGGGGGCCATTCGCTTAACGGGATTGCTTAGGAAAACGCTGCCGCTGCCGCTTAGGATTTCATTTTGTTATTTCTGACCACCGAAGGTTTTCAAATATCTCACGCTCATTTTCTTTAATATTGTTATTACCATTGCAAAAGAAAAAAAAGAGCGCGAGGTATTTGAAAACCTCAGGTGGCTAGAAATAAGAAAATGTAACCGTAAGCGATAGCATTTTCCAAAGCAATCCCGTTAGGCGAGTAGCCTCCAGCACGCCTTGGCAGGGACAGACGGATCGTACCGCACCGGGACCATGTCCACTCGGCACGTGCGCTGGTGGAGTACTGACCTATCTGGAATATGTTGTTGGCACCCAGCGGCGCGCCGGCGGGCGGACAGTCGACGGCAGCGACAGCCAACACGCCGGACAGGGACAGACGGTTCGCCGGTGTTTTAGCACCGCACCGGGACCACGTCAACTCGCCACTGCAACAATGTTATTATTATTATTATTGACAAAATCCAATTTTTTCACGCATCAATTAATGAGAAATATGCATGTGATTCAAAAAAGGCTAAAAAGTTGCTTTAACACCAACACAACACCGTTTATCCGATTAATAACAGAAAAGCTTGCAGTGTCTCGTTTCTGCCAACAGAGTATATAATGCGATTCAACTAAGAATAGGACCGACTAGGCGCCATATTGTGACGTCATAGCTGTCAATTCAAACCAAATAGGTAGAGTGAGCAAAAAAGTTTGTATTTAATAAAACTTATTTACTAAGATTAAGTGAGAAAAAACATGAATCAGAATCTAGCTCTTGAATAACGCTAATCTCTGCATTACCGCCAGAGTAAATATAAATAATCATGTACTATTACTAGGTCACATACGGACTTGCATTCTTTATATAAACAAAAGTTTTAAATCGAGTTTATGAACGCAACTTAAAGTGACAATTGGTTGACGATTTAGGTTATCAACCAGTCATAGCCAAAGCTCTCAATAATGAAAAAAAAAAAAACAATATTAATTATCAATATTTGTTATTGTTTGTTTAAAAATTTTTGGTTTTTATTCTAGAATTAGCCGAGTGCTAAAAAGGCTTGAAAGATTTTTTTGCAAACCGAACTTTTCAAGCGACATTTGATAGATGGAGGTCATTGGCTTTCCTATTCTTATTTGAATCGCACTACACATACAGTGTAGGACAAGAGTAGTTAAGCCAACTAATAATATATTTTTACTAAAATTATATTCCTACTATTATTATTGCAGTGTGTCTACAGTATATGAGAAGAGTGCCAGATAATTGTAAGGAAATGTTGAAATGTTGGATTCCCGTGAGATTCTCAAAAAACTAAAGTTAACGCAGACGAAGTCGCGGGCGGCCGCATGCGAATAATAAATACATGGTTAGCCGGAAGTGCCACCGTGGACGTGCGTCCATCGGGGCGAGACTGCGCCCGCGCGCACTTTCTCCCATGGCTTTATCATTGGTCACCAATCCAATGACCGATCACTGCGAGAGTTGCTTAACATCAAAGATCACGGCCAAACGCGCCAACCATTCGCGCCATCGAGCTCCATTGTGTAGGTGAAGAGAAGTTTATTGTGTATAAACACCTGGTGAGCTGAAGTACCTCCGCTTGGCGTCCCGCTTAATTTCAACGATCGCGTACGAACGCGCTGACCACTTGCACTACCGAGCTCCCCAGTGTCGGTAAACAGTAGTTTATCGCTTCCCTGGTCAGCCGGAAGTGTCTCCGCTTGGCGTCCTGCTTCACTTCAAAGATCGCGGCCGAACGCGCTAACCACTTGCACTATCGAGCTCCCAAGTGTAGGTAAAGAGTAGGTTTTTCGTATAAATACCTGGTGAGCCAGAAGGGCTTCCTCTTGGCGTCCTGCTTAAACTTCAACGATCGCGGCCGACCTCGCTAACCACTTGCACTATCGAGTTTCCCAATGTAGTTAAAAAGCAGTTTATTGCGCATAAATACCTGGTGAGCCGGAAGTGCCTCCGCTTGGCGTGCGCGTGCGCGGCCCGCGTCCATCTCCGTCGCGGTGAGCCAGCGCCCGCGCGCACGTCCTCCGATCGCTTTATCATTATCCTGATTAACACAAACGATACCAAATCTTTAATACAATAGACCGGCAGTAATCCAACAAACGTTTTACAGGACGATGTCATATTATCGAATTTGTCGGATTACAGAGTACTGTCTAAGACCAACCTCTATACTCTGGAATTTTTGGATAAGAGTACCTTGTAATCCGACAAATTACAAATTTCAAGTGATTTTATGTGCAAATCAACAGTGATAAGCTTGTCGGACTACATGGGGTGCCGGATTACCGTGGGCCTACTGTAATGTCAATATTTAAAGTATATATACTAATATTATAAATGGGAGAGTGTGTGTCTATAACCTCTTTCCGCTTAACCAATTTAAATGAAATAGTAGCTGGTATGGAAATAGCTACCGGGAAATGACATTGGAAAGTTTTTGTCCCGGAAACCATTTTAATGGGGGAAATTACTAAATTCCAGACAATTCTAAATAAAAAAAAATGTTTCAAAGTAAACAGCATTAGCCTACATATCATAAAATATAAGTATACTAGCGGCTGCTCCACTGCGCGTCCATGTTAACTTTAAGGTTTTTTACAATCCCACTGGAACTTAAAAAAATTACGGGATTAAAAGTATCGTTATGTCTCTTGCCAAGTTATAAGCTGTCTAAGTCCTAGCGGGATTTGGACTCGGTACATTTGGAGCAGAAGGCAAAAGGCTGTCGTTGCACCAAGCAGCCGTCAATAATCAAAGTACCAAAAAAGTCAAAACAGTGACAAAAACGTTAAATTATAATATTTACTCTCCATATACATACCCATATCTGATCCAAATCAAGCACAAACAGATAAACAAGAATAGATCAGTTTTTATCTTATTAATTGAGTCAGAATTACACTATTTCATTATGATTTTGTCCAAACTTACCCTTCCTTAAGTAAGATGGGTGTTTCTTGTATGTTGTTGTTTTGGGTTTCTGTACTGGTGGAGATTATTTCGAGGAACTGCCTTATTGCTTGCACCTGTAAATAAAACAATACGTTACATTTACTGTCTTATATACATTTTTGTTTTCTATTTATATTTATTTATTTTTATTTTATTTCTTATTTATTTATTTTATTTTATTTTCCTATTCCGTTACAATGATTCTGTGAAGTCATATAACGAAAGACGACAACATTCAATGAAAATTATTCCAATGCGTTACTCTCGCATTCTGTAATGATACCGAAAAACGAGGTTGTTTGAGCTTAAGTATCCTTTGTATTTAAATGGATAAATTTTATAAAAATATATATGTTAACTATTTGCATTATCTAAATATTTTTTATTTCAATTGTGAAGCAGCCCACATATAAAAACCAATAGGTTTTTGTACATACATTTTTGTCCACTATGTCTTAAAAATTTGCTTGTGTGTTACGAGTTGTGTGAAGCATTCAGTCTTAGAGAATGGACACAGCTTATAATTTGCATTGATAAGACAATATTTGAATGAAATTATGACTCTCAAGAAAGACAGACCGATATTGTGTGACCAACAAAGGGGAGAAATGTGTGAAAATGCCTCGCACCCTTTTTTTCTTTTGCATTGATAAATAACAATATTAAAGAAAATTTTAGTGAGATATTTAAAAACCTTTGGCAGTCAGAAATAATAAAATCAAATCGTAAACGATCCATAGCAATCCGGTTAGTCAATCGGCCCCCTGGTTAGGGATGCGAAGTCTTTTGAAATTTCGATATTTATATCGAAGTCAGGAAAATATCGATAACCGATATATCGACCACTTTAACTCGATATTATCGATATACCGATTTTTTTTTCTTTTTTTTTGGTTTGTTTTATTGACATTAGAATACGGGGTGAGTGTGACACATTCATATGTTTGTTGGCGAGTTTCTCGCAAAATGCATTGAGCCAGCTTTTTCGTCAAACACGCTTGATGAAGCTTGATCGCGCCAAGCAGGTTTTTTTTTATTGGCTCCCACGGTTTGTGTTTCAGCCAAGACAGGAAACCAAAAAATTAAAATTATTATCCTGATCAGATCACTCACATTCGTTAGCACGAATGCGCCAACCCGCATATGTGGGACGACATTTGCGAATGCCTTTGCTAAGTTTTCACTACATTCGTGCTTTTCCAAGCTATGTCGGTTTTTAGCGCACATCAAATACGTAAATTGCTTAGTCTTCCACACATCAGGGGCGTGCCCATAGCTTCAGAATCGGGTAAGCCCAAAGCTTCCAAAATTACTATACCTATCTTACTTTCTTGACGTGGCGAGCTTAAAAAAATTACGATTTGTATAAGATTCTTAATTTTATTTTGTGTTATATTACAATGATATTAAATTTCAATTAATCAGTAGTTGACAATTATCTAGAAAGAGAGGCAAGGATTTTATTTAAGTGCATGAGTTACCATTAGGTATACGATTATACCTATATACGTTGGTGTCGATTCTGGCATGATTATCTAAACTTAAAACCAAATTTAACATCAGTCTCTCCTTTTCATTCTGTATAGAGAATGACAAGGATACACTGCTGTCAAATTTAATTTTAGGTTTAGAGAATCATGCCAGAATCCACACCAGTTTAGTATATTTCTTGGGGTTCAAGATTTTTTTAATACATCTATAAGCTCTTGCGATTTCAAAGCAATAGTTATTTCGATATTATTCAATTTGTATAGTCATAGCAGGTAAATTAATTGATATTATTGTGTTCAAATTTAGTCTACGAAATATCGATATTTTGAATTTCCAATATCGATATTATCGATATCAGTGAATTTTAAATATCGATATTTTGGTCTCGATATTATCGATATTCCGATATATCGTTGCAACCCTACCCCTGGTTGCCTAGCGACTGAATAGTCTTAGAGATCAGTGTTGGAGTTAATCTATTTATTTATTTAAACATCTTAAAGACAATATTTAACGTATGTTTGCAGGCGATATTTTGTATAACCATACTCTATGGTATACTTTATGTTTAATTTACAAAGCATTAAAAACTCCTCAAATGTCATCATTACTCTAGTTACGTTTTTGTTAGTTGTCAGTTTGTGGAAAAATACATAGTTTCGGTTAAAGTAGTAGTTTTTTTTTTAAATAAAGTGAGTTTGTAACCTACAGAGTTAATGACCTATTTTCTGAGGATCCTGATAAATTTACTCGCGTGTTATTATTAGTAGTAGTAGTAAGTAATATTATAGCAATACTGACATGTCTGGGCGTGCAAAAGCTGCGGTAGAGCTCGGCCATGTACTCCTCCTTGCAGACCTGCTGGGCGGAGCGGCTGCTCACCAGGTTGCCTAGCGACTGAATAGTCTTGGAGATCAGCGTCAACGTCCTATTCGTCTGAGGATCCTGTGGAAAGGACATAAAAAAGTTTTTAAAGATAGGACAGCCCATAAAGGCACTGTATTTACGGACTGAATTCATTAAACAAAGTCCTACATATCGTCTTTATGTTAAAAATACCTACCTTCTTTCTGGTTTGTGTATAAAACAAACCCTAATCCTCATTGGTTTTCTTCCCAATTTATAGTAATGTATGAGTCGCGCCTTTTTTTTCATTTTCACATAACTCTTTTCGATTCGGACTCTTACTCGGATCCGGTATCACAAGCCTAAAATATATATAATAAGGATCAATTTTGGCGAACTCCGTGGCCGAGCCGGGTTTCATGGTGTCGCCGACTCGAGAGGTCCCAGGTTCGAATCCCGGTGGGGGCAGTTGTTTGTGTGTATGAATACGAACATTTGTACCCCAGTCATGGATGTTTGATATGTTTTTCTATATAAATATAAGTACAGTATATGTATTCTATCCGTTATCCTAGTATCCCATAACACAAGACTTACAGTGCTTACTTTGGGGCTAGGCTAATTGTGAATGTTGGAAATATTTATTTATTATTATTATAATTAACTCACGATCTGTTCAGTAGTGAGGTCGAACAGCCTCGGGCCCAGGATGGCAGGCGCGAAGAACCGCAGGAATATGAAGCCGGACACGACCGAGTAACGCACTTCGGCGTTGCGCGGGAAGTGTCTGGCGGCGCACTGTCGTAACGCGTCGAATAGCCGACACATCGCTGCCGGACAGGACTCATAAGAGGACGTTATCGCAGAGAATACCTGTGGACAAACAATACACTTCATATAATAATCATCATCATCAGCATCAGCCTATTAATGCCCCCACTGCTGGGCACAGGCCTTCCCTATGGATGAAATAGGGAGATTGGGCCATGACCCACCACGCGGGCCGAGTGCGGATTGGCGGATACTAAGGACTGCAGATGCAGCCGGGACCAACGGCGTTGCGTGCTTCCGAAGCACGGAGGAACTCGAGATAGAAGACTTTTGGTCACCCATCCAATAACCTACCACTGCGAAAGTTGCTTAACTTCAACGATCGCAGCCGAACGAGCTAACCACCCGCGCCACCGAGTTCCTCAACCAATCAACCAGCTCTTAACAGATTAATTTTATTTCGTAGCGTATAAGATAGATTTGCTAGCAATATCGGCTCTTGGGTAAAGCGAAAGGAGCGGCCGTGGCCTGGAACGTCAAAAAGCCAAATCCTAAACAATTTAGGAAGGGGCAAATAAAGAGCATTGAAAGCAATCTCGTATCTCAACGTAGTCCTTTCCTTCAAGTTGGCCAGGTTAGTGAACATGGCTACGAAGGTTTGACGCCACAGAAACTCCCCAAACAGAATGTCACCTCATAAAGCAAATATCGGGGATCCGCGAAAAATAAGGTACATGGTGGCCATCCCGCAAACTACTAATGGTAGTGACTATAAAAAATTAAAACTATGTATTCCTAAACTGAGGGTCAGTTTAGGAATACAAAGTTTTAAATTTTTACTCAACATAGTCTTTTGAGTTGGTGGATATCGCTGCAAAAGGCTTGATGGGCATGGGATCTCGCAGGGTCGCCGCTCCACCAGTAGGTTGCTAGCGTCAATCGATAAACCTCTGAGATATGAAGGGTGGCGTACATTGCTGCTAAGTTTTGACGTTGTATCAAGTCTCTAAACCGAATTTGTTACTAACTCTCTCGAAGTAGTCCTTCAAGTGGGCCAGATTGTGGATGGAGCCGCAGAAGGCTTGACCCACGTGGGGTCGATCTCGCAGGGCCTCTTCTCTGCCAGGACTGACGGTAGCGTCAATCGAAACACCTATAAGATACCAAGGTTGGCGCACATTGTTGCTAAGTTTTGACGCCATATCAAGTGCCTACACCCAATTTGATACTCATCTTCTCGACGTATTCCTTCAAATTGGACAAGTTGGCAGGTTGGTGGATATAGCCACGGAGGGTTTGGTGGTGAAGGTGGCTGCAAAGTTTTGACGCTGTATCAAGTCTCAAAACCAAATTTGGTAATAATCCTCTCCACATAGTCCTTCAAATTAGCCAGGTCGGTGGTTATCACTGCGAAAAGTTAGACGCCAACAGAATATCATACTGACCCCCTCCACGTAGTCCTTCAAACTGGTCAGGTTGGTGGTTATCACTGAGAAAAGTTTGACGCCAAAAGAAAATTATACTGACCCGCTCCACGTAGTCCTTCAAACTGGTCAGGCTGGTGGTTATCACTGCGAAAAGTTTGACGCCAACAGAATATCATACTGACCCTCTCCACGTAGTCCTTCAAATTAGCCAGGTTGGTGGATATAGCCGCGGAAGGTTTGACTCGCGTGGGGTCGATCTCGCAGGGCCTCTTCTCCGCCAGTACTGCCGCTAGCGTCGGCCTCAGGACACCTCTCAGATATGAAGCGCCTGTCAGACGCATCGTTTCGTCCATCATTTTTGAAACTAGCGTGTTGCCGCGGAATATCGTGGTCGCGTCCCTACAAATAACGCATATGGAATAGGTTAATTATTAAGAATTTCTTAAACTCATTAACGCTAATAAAATTGACAACAAGATTATTCGGACAGATGATGCCGTTGCCAACACTTTTGAAAATTTCTTTTCTAGTGCTCCGTTTGAATTAACTAGAAAACTTAATTCTTGTTCTAGGTTAGCAATGACCCTCCTTGAGTCAAGTGTTGATAAGTGCAGTAATGATTTTCATTTTAGACATATCAGTAGTGATTGTATTATAAAAACATTTAATTATATTAATATTAAAAAGACAGAGGATGTATGGAGAATATCAACATATATAATAAAACCGATTATCGCTGTCATTGCGCCACAACTGGCCATTATATTTAACAAATGTATTGATGAGGGAGTGTTTCCAGACGTAATGAAATGATGAATGATGACACCTCTTTAGTGTTTAAAGCTAATAGAGGAAATGATTGTTATGACGAAGTAAATTGTGCTCTCTCTGAAGTCCTTCACTGGTTCACGGTAAATAATTTAAAATGAAACTCTAGTAAAACAAAATGTGTTAAGTTTACTTTACTTAATGTGAGGCAGGTTAATACTACTTTAAAAATAAATGACCAGCCTGTAGCGTTAGTGGATAATTACTTAAGAAACGTGTTAAATAATTTACCTGAGGAACAGAGACATCGTATAATTCTACAACAAGATGGTTCTCCGGCCCATAACAGCAGAATCACCGCTGCCTATGTTAATAATCATTTCAATACCTGGATTGGTACAAACGGCACAATTAGATGGCCTGCGAGATCACCAGATCTCACGCCTTTAGATTTTTTTGTGGGGATAAGTAAAAAATAAAAAATACCTAAATCCTATGCAACTGTAAACGAGTTTAGAGCTGAGATTCACAATTTGATTTTTAATATTCATCACAACACGCTATTAAAAGTTACTAGAAATGAAGTCCTTAAAATAATAAATTTGTGTATCCAACAAAATGGAGATCATTTCGAGCAACTAATTAGTTAGAATATTTTTTTTGTTCAAATAAAATAAGCTAAGATTTCATGCTTTTTCTTTAATTAAATGTACTAAGTTTTTTTAGTAAGATATGATCTCTATGATTGACCCTATCGATCGATGCCATAAAAACACAGGTGTCATTTTTTCGAATTTTTGCCAGTTCGATTCCCGGGTGTGGCAAGCAAATTTTCGAAAAACTGTGATTGCAGTTGTGTTTCTTTTTAAAAATACAGGAATGTTTCCTTTGAGTAAAATTATCTATCTCCAGTATTTAGAGTACTTCCCCTGGGGGTGGCATTCAAAATTTCCACCCTGTATATCAATACAGGGAGATAAAAGCAGCCCTTGCTGAGTTTCTTGCCGGTTCTTCTCAGTACAAGGTCTCCCACCGTAGTTTTGCGAACCGATGGCGTAGCTTCTGACCTTCACAAGTGCTTGTAACAGCCTAGACTGAATAAATGACTTTTCATTTCATAATATGGTACATATTTTCTTCATTCTTATTGTGATTCTACCCATCAACAGGAACAACTTTTATTATGGGACCAACGATGAAATCGCGAAAAAAAAATCAGCTGTTTCATACAAAAGTGCATCAGCTAATCGACCGAAATGTATGAAACAGCTGTTTTTTTTCGCGATTTCAGAGTTGGTCCCATAATAAAAGTTGTTCCTGTTGATGGATAGAATCAACCTCTAAGAGGTTGTTGGTGTTTTAAAATTAACCCTGTATAACGTAGTTTAGGGCACTCACGTGAGAGCCGATATCTCGGAATCGGCAAGCTCCTTGACAATGGGCACGATGAGATCATGATGAGTGAACAGCCGAACCAGTGGCTGCGCCGCGTCGTTTTTACTTGACACTATCTCTCCCAAAATGTACACCGCCGACGCTGTGATTGGCTGTGGACAATATTTCATGTTTTTATTGATATTGGGTATATTAAGCTTTATATCCATTATAATTTAATCTCAGTTCTGCCCTCGAATGGAGCTTTGTTTGGTTGCTTATAGTTTAGGGAAAATATAATGCCGGCACTTCACATCGATAGTCATATTTGCTATTTGTAAATTGACAGCAGTCTCTTCTTTTCACTCCCTATCTCAGAACAAGAACTAAATCTGAAGTAATGCAATGGCGTTTGAGTTTGAGCGTACACTTATACATGAGACTATACGTATTACCCAACCAAAAAGTATTAGGGACGTGTGAGCAGGTTGCATTTGCCATTAGATTGCTTTTTGAATTGGTATCGTAACCGAGGTCCACTACTTTATATACATTTTGAATGTAAAAGCAAAACATTACTTTAATAAATATTTATTTTCATTATGTATTTATTTTTATTAAAATGCATTGTAAATATAGTTATATATTTGAATGTATCTATATTCACAATGCATTTTAATTTTATTGAAAATATGTACCTACATCTAATTTGATTGTATCTTGATTTTCAAATATTAATTCGAACATGAGGATCTCGATGGCTCAAGTGGTAAGCGGTTTCGCGGTTCGTGGAAGTTAAGGAGCTTAAAAATCAATCAAAAAGGCCTTTTTGATTTGATCTAAGAGTTAAGTGTATAAAAAATTCAAAATAATTGCTAGCAAAATAATAAAATATTTATATTTATCTTTTGAGTTAATGCTTTGAAGTTATTTGGGTCATTTGACGCGCTATTTATAAAAACAAATTATTTAGATATTATTTATTAACTTTAACAATAGGTGTTATTCAAAAACAGGGTATACCAATAAAATAGAACTAATAAAAACAATCATAAGTTATTGATATTCTTAAAAAATGGTTTTGGTAAGGCATCCGTTTTGAGTCCTGATTCATTAGTAGGCATGATGCCTGAAAATATTACGAACAAAGTTAGGAATATTTCGCAGGCTCCTAGACCTCAAATACAAATCAACAGCTTTGATCTGCTCACATCTCATATCGGCATCTTGAGAAACAAAAAGAAATTGTTTATACATAAAAAACAAAAAATCTTTAGAATTAAACGTTTATCAGTTAAATGCTTAAAATAAAAATATACTACTGTCAATATTGTTGATCGATAGTCGATAAAACTATGTAAACAATAAGAGTACAGCTCTAAAATATATTATTTTTGAATGAGAATTTTGTACAAAATTTTATTTTATTTCATTTAATACAATTAGGCCGTGAAAATTTGTGACGTAAACTCTATAGAACCCAATGATTTTTCTGATATAAAAACACCAGTATATGTTCAAAAATTTTTGCTAAGACATGACGACGACTTACACGTGAAATTAATAATATAATTCTGAGTTTTTTAATTCTTCCTTTAACCGTTCTTGATGAACGGAACATGGCATTATCATATACTTTTATATAATTTTGACGCTTAACACTATGAATTTATTTTCAATTAATACTATGTCTATGGCGTATACAGCCAAAGATATCCAATTTGACGTTAATATAATGGTACGCATGCTGTTCATATATTTGTCTCTTTTCTGGTCTATATGTAAATATAAGAACTATATGAATCGACACTATGTGTTAAATTTAAACACCTTATATGATTAAATTCTTGTTCTGTGATTCTTGAATGACAAATAGCAAACACGAATAGCCATTTTAAGTGTCGGCATAAAAGCAAGACAATTAAACGATAATAGTAAATCTTGTGATCATGCAAAGTCAACAAATTAGTCAACTCGCGCACCATTATTACGATAGTGGTAAGAGCAAACAAATTAAATTTTATCAGTAGGTTAGGCTAAATATCGTAACCACAATGAATGGAGCGTTAACTCGCTGATTTGCTCTCGCTTGTTTTTGCATGCTTTCTAATTAAACGATAACAATATTTTGTGACCATACAAAGCGGAGCGAGCGAAACGTTCATTCGTTCATAATTAAAACAAATATAGTATCAAATAACAATGATTAAGTGCTATGTAAATATTTATGCAGATAACAAATAGGTATGGGATAACTTTTTGTGCCAATGACAATTAGTAGTAAAAATTAAGCGTATCTATATAAGTAGACAGGGAAGGGATCGATTCCTACCGCGACTACATTTCAAAAGAATGAGCTAAGTAAAAGCCCATTCTTAAAATTTATAAAAAAAAACGAGCTAGCCTTACAGTAGTCGCGTCTGATGTGTAACATTTGAAACCTCACCCTATATTAGTAAAAAAAGAAATAAAACCAACTACAAAAGGCATAAGCCATTTTTGAACATTATGTTCTAAAATCAAATCAAATAGCGCGCGCTTCCCAAACTTGTAACAGGAAGTTACTTTCGTGGGACTTCCGTCCCACTTCACGTAATCACTCCCACAAATTGCACGAAAGCGAGAGGAAAGATGTTACACATCAAAAATACCTTCTGATGCACGCTTCTCAGGAACAGCTCCTCCAACTTCCTGTAATGATCTAAGGGGAACACGTGGTCTACTGTATACTGCAGTAGGAGCCTCAACGAGCCGAGCGTGGAACTGCCGGCTGATAGTCGCGTGCCTGGGGGCGTCGCGCCGCGGGATAACGCGCCCCCCGCACGGGACGTAAGGAAGAACCTGTGTGACAAATAAAAAGACTGTAATTTGAACGACGAGCCGAAGAATAAAGACTATAGCTACATTCGGTATTTGCATCGCAGAGGCGGAAAAATTAAGAGGAGCTCGATGGCGTAGGGGGTTCGCGTAGCTAGATGGCGTAGACCATCTTCTTCTTCGATCGATCTTCTATCTCGAGTTCCTCCGTGCTTCGGAAGGGACGTTAAGCCGTTGGTCCCGGCTGCATCTTCAGTCGTTAGCAACCGCCAATCCGCACTGGGCCCGCGTGGTGGGTCATGGCTCAATCTCCTTATACCATCTATAGGGAAGGCCTGTGCCCCAGCAGGGAACATTAATAGGTTAATGATGATCGCAGAGGCGACGGATTTTTGGTCACGTGATGGCAGATTAATCTGAGTAAATTCCTATTAACGGACGGTCTGACTAACCGTAGATTAGATTCATACGAAATATAAACATACTTCTAACATCATAACATGACAGATACACAGTTTAATCTCTCTCGACGGACAAAATACTCCGATCAAGCAGATTTACATCGGACTGATCTGAGCGGAATTATCGAACAGTTCAGATTTACCTCCCATAACCTCTAGATGTAATAAACGAAGGATTCAGACTAAAAGATTGGTCAGAACGCAGCTTATTTATTTACTCTTTATTGTTTTGTCACAAATGGCGGACTTAATGCCACATGGCATTCTCTACCAGTCAACCATCGGGCTAAGCAGAGATATTATGCGGTAAAGTAAATTAAAGCATTATAGGTAGTAAAAGAGAAAGAAAAACAAAATTAAATTGATAAAACTACATGTTACTTCATATAATAATTATAATGTAACATCTATAAATATACCTAAATAACTACATATATATAACATATCTATGTATTTATAAAACGATAAATACATATTTAACATATATGATATGTCTTAGGAGCCAGCGCTAACACTTCAGAGTGGACTCGGAAAGGCTGGGTGGCGACGAAGCGTAGAGCAACGCGGCCAGGACGGGAGTAAGCATTCGTAAGTAAAATGCTGTACCATGCTCGCAGTGGTGAAGGTGCGGTTTGTCGTAGTTGCAACCGCACCTCGCCGAGGAAGACCGGCGTCGCTGCGTCGTGCCATACGGACACTCTAGCCTCACATGCCACGCCAGCCTGGGAAACCAATAAAAACATTGAAAGCTAAACCATAGAGGTACATAATACATAATAATAATTATGTATATTTATACTACACCAGACATGATGGGAAATTGCTCTACTCTTATTTTAAAAATGAAGCAGAAAGGACCTTATTACTGTTGTACTACTAAGGGGCCGTCCATAAATTACGTCATCGATTTTTTCAGATTTTAGACCCCCCCCCCCCCCCTCTACAATCATCCTATCGTCATTTCTTAATGACCCCCCCCCTTCTCCCAAAATTGACGTCATTACCAGTTTGACAAAATTAAAACATTGCAGATTTGAGAAAAGCTAGTATTATATGTAATATTATTGTTAGAGTATTTTATCTGTAGTTATTACTGTATTTGTGTACATCTATGTTGCATTATGTATGTTTATTATGAGTTATTTTAGTATTGTACGCGCCTTAGCCGCCTCTCACATTTGCAGTCTCACTTACTAGGTGTGCTGGAAGAAATTTCTTTTTAGAAATAATCTTTTTGTACGTGAACAATAAATTATAAATACATAAATAAGAATGACGTCAATTTCGAAACACCCCCCCCCCTAATTTAGAATGACGTAATATATGGACGGCCCCTAAGCGGGCAAATTCTCTCTTTAATTTTTTCAGTCTGCTAAATCATATATTTTGCAGACAACAATTTTTTTTTAACATAATACTGTTGGTTTTCTAAATAAATTTTAAAAAGAACAAATTGTTTTTTATTTCATATATGTATCTATCGAAAGAAAGTGCTATTTGCTACTCGTTGGTGATCGGTCACTTTCTCCTCTCGGTGAACAATGTACTATTTCTTTATTACCAAAAGGGATTTCCCCCTCGAATTGTAGCGCCCACCTGAGGGAGTAAGCTCCATCTTACAGAAGACCACAGTAAAATAACTACCTTTTGGCGGTATTGTTTTTCTGTTGGTGAGTAAGGTTCCACGACTCAGCGGGGTAGGGGATTGGGTCAGGGTAGGCAACGGCGCCAGTGACATTTCTGGTATCGCGAGCGTGAGGTTTAATATAGGATGTCTCATTTAAATCGGTCCAACTTCCATGGGTCTTTAAATTGTGAACAATTCTAAGGAATGTCTTTAGAGTAGGTAAAATACGTGCCGGATATTTAATATGGTACCAATGTAGTGCAAGGGAGCAAGCATTTTTTGTCATTTTTAAAGTAAGCTTCCAATAATTCCAACTGGTCAGTGTTTGTAAAACGCATTTTTCCAACCACATAGCGATATACACAAAAATATCTAAGCAAAATTTTAAGCTCCCGCTGAATATTTTTAGGCATTTAAATTACAAATGTGAAAAGGCTATACTTGCCGATTGGGAGCTATCCTTGTCCTTGGGGTCGGCGTCCATAACGAGATCAAAACGAAATATATCATCGAATTGAGGATTAACAGTCTTCTTTCTGGGTTTCGTGCGTTTCTCCACTTTTCGTCCGTTCGAGTACAACAATGTGACGAGAGCGAACGGATCGCACTGTCCGTTTTTAGTGGTGAGTTCAGAACACTCCAAGACTCTTAGCCGGAGAGTGTCTGGGCCGACGCGCGCTGCGCAGTGGCGTTCGGGATCCGACCAGTAGTCGGCGGCGGTGGGTGAGGGTAGTGCGTCCGATTCAGACATCGCATGCATCGGGGGCTTATTTCGGGTCCCCCATTGCGCTCTATCCTTCAAACTTTCGGAACGCGATAAAGCTAAAGAAGGCTCCGTCGCAACGGAGCTTAAAAGTTTTTTACTCGTCGAACTCGAACACGAGCCGAACTTTATACTCTCTTTGCAGTACTCGGAGAGTCTGACGAGGTTGTTTCCTTTCAGCTTCGACGAATTGTTGTCGAAATCGGCGGGGTCAGGCGGCTTCGGCTCCATTCGCAGTCGTTTTCTTGAGTCCTCAAGTGACAGCTCGATATGCGCTTTGCCTTGCACCTCCGAGTCAGCGTCGACTGGACGCAAGGCGAACCAATGGTCCTTCTTATATAGGTGGAGATCTTCTCGTTTGATTGCAACTTTTCCGAGCACTTTGTCCTGCTTGAGATGCTTGTCACGGTCGAACACGTATATTGAGAGGTATCTAAATCGCCTGGGGACCTCGAACTGGAATTCTTCTCCAAAAAATGGGCTGCAACAATAAAATTATAAACATTATTGCAAATATCAGCAATACGTAGGTATACTTAATGATATAATATGACGCGTCAACTGTCAGACCTATCATGAGCTAATATTTATTTTCGTCTACTGGTTGCGTTTATACAACAATCGCTATCAGACTTTCGACTGGCAAGATATTTATTGCCGTCTCTTGTTACAAACTAAAATAGCGTGGGGTCTAGCATCTTTATCGCCTACTGGTTTGCAAATTACGTATATATTATCTGATATTCCATTAAGTTGTGAAGCAACATTCTGTGGAATGTGATTTTTTAATTAAAAGCAAATCTGTAAGTAACCGGCGACTGTAAGAAGTTGTTAATGTCCTATGTAAATGAAATTGCTAGTAAAAGGCTGGACGAAACTATAAACGCACTTAATAATGGAGTGTTCCAAGGACTGTATTCATAAAACTTTATGATCGACTGAAATCCATTTAAATCAAAAGCTATAGGTAAGTTGCTCTGTCGGTAGTTGATTGGCTATCATTGTTTTCAAATTATATAACAATACCTTAGTGTAATACGATCAGTTTCCTTACTGGAGTTAATACCGACAAAAAGGAACAAAAAATAACTTAGGCTCAATTTATACCGCGTCGTGAAATGGAATGGAAGCGAAGTTTTACAATAAAATTGTGAGAATAATGAACTAAAGCTAGTGGAATTCTCAAGAATGCGCGAGGATTCCGCGGAAGCCGCGCTCATTTTTTTGGCTCGTATTTAGTTTGTATGTTATACAATAAACATAAGTTTAAGCTATGCACAATTTCGTTGCTAGTTGCTATCGTTGCAAATTCGCTTCCATTCCATTCCGCGGTGGTATTAATTAGCCTTAGACATTTAAAAGAATACCTACGTTGTTTTTCTTTTTAAGATAGCAAGGTTAAAGATGCATTTCAATGAATCTCAGTAAAACAACAAATATTATCAGATTGCAATTAATGTATGCAAATGAAATGCTGAATGTAAATTTAAATGTACTTATACATATACACATATTTTGCTTCATACAAATATGTTCTATGTAATATTTTGTTACTATTTCGTGATTAAGTTGGTATTTTTACTATAATAGCAACCATGGGCTGACCGGGTGAATAGATAGTAACGAAGTCAAACTCATGGATGTGCTTCACTTTCCATATCAACGCTCGGCGGTCGCGCCAGGATTGTCAACTTTGGCTTATGCACAAAAAACTATCGTGGTAGTGGCACTCGTATCTAGTTGTTTAATTTATTGTTGGGAATGAAACAGGAAAAATGAAAATATAAAGCAGTGAAGACTAAAATATTTCAATTTAATTGTTATTGTAATATGATAAATAAAAAATATCGACAATGAATCAATTAATGTTAAATTTTAACAACCATCCACTGAAGAGTTATACTACTTAACTATTTTTGTTGCTCCATTTTTGCATAAAAAAGTTCACGGAGTGGTCCGAGATATCGTGTCAGTGAGCGGTGTCTATGCATGCGTTCCTCAAGCGCACTTTGTATGTAGATCGACTTCTGTACTATCTATTTTTTGCTGGGTGTCATTACGGTGAGTATGCGTAGGCCCCCGGGCTGCGGTGAAAGTCTGTCTTTCCTGCTTCACCAACGCATTTTGTTGACTACGAACGTAAGATTAACGATAACTTTGATTATAATTCTTGCTTTAATATAATTGTGTAGAAATAACCACTTTCATAATTTTTATAGGTGGCAACAATGATACAATAGAGGTATATATGTCACTAACATGAACAAGTTGTTGCAGACAGATTCAGACAATTGTAGTAATTTGATTTAGTCCGCTAATAGCAGCGAGCGAAATAAAACATGCCCGTGTCGTGTCAGTTATATTATTAAAATGACAATGTATGTGTTAAGAAAGTGTAAAAACTATAGTTCTTAGATAATTATGAATGGAGGAATTTCATATCACGCGTAAGTAAATAAAAGAACATCATATTGTATTTTGGCATGGTTTTATTTCTCATTTACTGAAATTAATACACAGCTCGAACTATAAACATGAGGGTTAAAAAGAGGGGATCACTGTTTGGCTGAAGGGGCTTTCATATACAGAAACAGAGGTACTTATAAATAATTAATTATAAGACTGTTAAACGTCGAAATACTGCTAAAGCAGCTTTGCATGCTGTTTGTTATCAAGTAAACAATACCTATTCCAAAAAAAAAAAGTATATATTGTTAAAACTAATTTGAATGTGAAAAAGACTTTACCTCGTTAACGTGATAATCATCTTAAAATAAAATAATTTCAATTTGATTTAACTATTTATAAAAATGAACATTCCAAAATCTCATTTACTCATTAATAAATATAATCTTTAAATATATCAAAAAAATAGCTTTCATTTACAATAATGACATTAAAAAAAAAAAAATTGAATTAGTGGATAGTATAGGTATAAATTCTTTCTATTGTCAGGTTATAAAAATAAATGAAAAAACAACCTAAATTCAGATTTAAACACAATAATTCTACTTATCAAAGGAGTTCATAATGGAGTTTATCGCTCATGTTACAGCATTTTTGTCGCTCATGAACAGGAGTCGCGCCCTATGTAGATCTATTTGTTTCTTCTACAACGATTCACGCCTGCTGACTTGCTCCGCCCCTTTTCCTACCACTGATCCTGGTCGCGCTCATCAGTCGCTCGAAATGAATTGTTAGTTCAGTTGATGGCCAGCGTATGGTACTGCTGGACGTTTTTACTATTTAATAAACAAAATAATGATGTTCGTATGCTTTGAATTAACTTTTTTGCAGTGATGTTGGTACGATGTGTGCGAAATTGTGTCTTATATTGAATTTAACTATTCTATATCATGATTTATTGGTTTGTAGTGTCCAGGTAGGTTTAATATTGTAATTTTAATAGATTTGTATAATCTGTGTTTACCTACCTTCTAATGTGAGCATAAAAATTCAAATGTTATATTTTAGTCCTTATTTTCATTTTTTGGTAAAATTTAGTATTGGTTTGTAATAATATTGATAAAAATGCACTCGGACATATTTTTTGTTTTGAAATTACCTTCGATGGATTTTAAATTGTGGATATTTTTGTCTCATTTTAATTTTCCCTCTATACAGATTGTTTTAATTCATTTTATACATTGATAGGAACACTGTTTCATATTATACGGGAATGGGCGTTAATTCTGCAACACAGTTTTTGTAAAACTAAAGCAGTTTTAACGATTCATAATTTCATGTACATTGCACTTGTTCCAAATAAAGTTATTATTATTATTATTATTATTATTATAAAAAGGATAGAGGATATAGTCCAGGAATTTTAGCACCAAAAATCGGTCCGCTCTGCATAAAATCCTTCTACGTGATTTTTTGATTGGATTATATCAGAGGGTGCCCCCTAAGTATAAAACCGAGTTTCTGTCGCCCGAAACCGCGAGCGTTAGCCGCCATCTTGGAAACCGTTTTTTGCATATATCTCGGAAACGGTACGTTTTACGTTAAAAACCGAAGAGATCTTTTTTGTAGAGAACAAAATTTCCCATCTTTTTTATACCAAACTTTTCCCCCTATTGTTTATATTTTCCGATATATTGAAGTAAAAAAAAACAATTTTTTTGTTTTTGTAAAGTATCTCAATAATTTTCAGAGTTACGAAAAAAATGTTTGAATTAAAGTTGGAGAGCATGAAATTTTCTACAAATTTTGTATAAAACTTTTTCTTGTAAAATGATTAGTTGCTGAGTTCCAGCTGAATAAAAATTATCACCAGGAATCGAAAATCAGTGATGAGCGGTAATACGTTACTCTGGTATGCAAACAAAAAAGTATAATCGAAAAATTTTATCATGAAGACGGTAACGATTTTATTTATCGTGAAAAGGAGGGAAATGAAAGATTAAAAAGGAAATTTTGCACAATAAAAATATTTTAACGAATTATTGGAAAAAGGAATGAAAATTTATTCATGTATCATTATCATTTGCGCGATATAAGTCGCTGTTTACAAATCAGGATCGCAGAATATTAATTTAATAAATTGTATTTGATAAATTATAATCGTCGATGTTAGATTTATAAAATTTTTCGCTGTTTACAACCGATTTTGGAAGGTTTGCGAATTTTCTTCTTCCAATTCCATGTTACCTGCATCAGAAGAATGTATGATAGATTCATTCGGTGTATCCTCCTCGTCGCTGTCGTCCGCGGACGGAGTTGAGTTATCACATGTTTGGCCACTACAATTTGAACAAATGATCGAACATACTTTACGCGGAGACATCGAATTTACTTATACTTTTTGTTTGCATGCGAGAGTCACGTATTGCCACTTACCGCTGATTTTCATGATCTTTTATTGCGCTAGAACTCAGCAACTAATCATTTTGCAAGAAAAAGTTTCATACAAAATTTGTAGAAAATTTCATGCTCTCCAACTTTAATTCAAACATTTTTTTCGTATCTCCAAAAATTATTAAGTTACTTTACAAAAACAAAAAATTTAGTTTTTTTACTTCAATATATCGGAAAATATCAACAATAGGGGGAAAAGTTTGGTATAAAAAAGATGGGAAATTTTGTTCTCTACAGAAAAGATCTCTTCGGTTTTTAACGTAAAACTTACCGTTTCCGAGATATATGCAAAAAAACGGTTTCCAAGATGGCGGCTAACGCTCGCAGTTTCGGGCGACAGAAACTCGGTTTTATACTTGGGGGGCACCCTCCGACATAATCCAATCGAAAAATAACGTAGAAGGATTTTATGCAGAGCGGACATCTAAAAATCTTGGGACTAATATGATGGCAACTGCAGTGCGACAAGGACGACAAGTATGCGTCATAGATTAATCAACCAGAAGCGAAATCGTTCACACAATACATTGTGCCTACTACGCTATGGCAAAGCGTACGTTAGGCGCTTGATTGCGCAACGGGAGTTTTATCGTTTTCTTGTTATTTAGTGAGCGACTTTCT